CTTCAAACTTGGATGAACATGTTTTCTTTTAAGGGATGTGTGACGTTTTTTGAAATGCAGTATGTCGGAACAAATAGAGTGGACAAAAATTTCAAATATGATTGCATTTACTTGAAATTTGTTAGCCGGGGCTTCTTGGGGTTGCTAATTACGAATATATTTGATGACTACCTATACAATTATTACCCTTTTCCTTTATTACTGCTTGAATAATTAACGTCATTTCCTGCAAAAAAAAATTATTTTCGGTTTTTATTTCTCTTTATAAATTGTTTAGAATTGTATACATATTGTTACCTTGTTGCCTTGATCGCACAATGATCATTTCGTTGACATGCAATTTCGGCATTTTTATAAGCAAATAACCGGTTATTTGCGAACGTTGTACGCTAGCTTCGGTTGTTTTAATCTCGTCCGAAAAGGACATTTGGAAAAGTTTCCCTTTCACAGAAACTCGCACATAATTCGGCTCGATGTCCACTTTGATTTGTGATGTATCCAAGTGTCTGCAATACAAAAGTACCGGTTACTTCGATGTTACAAGCGTTCATCGTTGGGAATTCGATACGCACTTCGGAATGGGTTAACTATTGGTTTCTTTCTACCAGGATGTAATTAAAATTGGTGATTACAAATTTTTACTTAATGACATGGACGGATTCTTGAGAATTAATGTAGTAAATAGTCTGCAGCTACAAGCTCTAGGATATTTAAAAACTTCCGATTTGAAACTGAGTTCGAATGATGTCACAGTGAATCTGTGCACTTGTTACACAGTGCAACAGCATTTTCGGAGCGGAATGATTTCAACTCAGGATGAGAGACCTAGACCATATAAAATATAAAAAAGCTTCAAATCTTTTTGCTTAATTTTATATGGCCATTAAGTTTGAAATTTTTTGCCTGGGTGTTTTTAGAATTAGTGGAAAAAAGTGTTAAAATTCATCACGGAGCGCAATTTTGTAGTTTGGATATACATATATGTATATAGTAGTAAACTTTTACGAGAAATATTTTCGTAAACCATTTAAACCCATTAGATCTCTAATGATATGATCGTATTTTGGAAAGTCTGAATAAAATGGCATTAGGTGTATTCTCAGACAAAAACTTTATAGCACCTTATCAAAAGTATAAACTTGTCTACAATTCTTTTTTTAAGTAACTAAACACCGCTGTGGTATAGTGGTTAGCAGTGCGCGTTACCACTCCGCAGGGCCTATGTTCAAAAAGCATTAGAAAAAATTTGCGTCCATATGCCCTTTCAAATACGCTACTTGCAAGCAGAGATTCAATGAACCGGGCGAGCGCTATCATCAAGTTGAGGGGCGACTGCTATTAGAAACAAACTTTTCTTTTTCTTTCGATATTGATTTGAACCTAGGCTCCTCGGAATGGTGGGTTGCAGTGCTTCCTAGTCGCTGCCCAGGATACAATTAGCGCATTTTTGCGTTATTTTGATGCACATCTCGCGCGGAATATTTTGTCAATACACATTCTATGTTGCTAAGTCGAACCATTTCGATTCTCTCATGAATCTACCAATTTGGCTATGATAGGTGCGTTCGTTGTGCTACCAGATGTTTTCCGAATGTTTTGTGTCTAATATTCGAATGACCTGGACATTCAAAAAGGAAATGCTGGACACTTTCATCGCTATCGTCTAGTTGACAGCTGCGGGAAATCGTATTATGGGGTAGACATATTTTTTCGCCTGTTTGCCTATGTTGAACAAATTCTGAATAACTCTAGCTTTCATCTGTTCAGCAAGTCCAAGGTCATCGTCCTGTTGTAGTCAGGCCATATCTAGTTTTCTCGATTTCTTACAAGTCTTTATATCTGACCACCTTCGTGTAGCCAGTTCAAGGAAATACATAATAATATCTCTTTGGACTATCCCAAGGGGCAACCCAGTGCCACCGCTTGAGATTCAACTACACCGGCTCATGCCTTCACCAGCTAATTCGCCTTCTCATTGTCTTCTATGTTCCTATGTCAGGGAACGCAGACAAGAGAGATGGTAGTTGACTGAGACACTGAGCTCAGTATCACTTTGCAGTCCCTTACTAGCTTGGATTTGGTAACCGCCGACAGAACTTCCACTTGGAAGATGCTTGTATCATTTACCAACCGTAGAGACAGAGCCACACCGAGTTTCTCGGAGTAGACTCCCGCATTAGCCTTCCGTATAACCCTCGGTGCCGTATGGGTAATCCTGTGGGAAGTAAATAGATGGTCCTTCACTATCTTTGCGAGTGCCCAGCATTGTCTCAAATAAGGCAGATCACACTCGGGAGTTTTTCTATCCAAAATCTTTGGGAAATTTCCAAATTTACCATTACTAATCTAAATAGATTCATCGGAAATCCTAATGGTTTGACGAACCCAACGAATCATGAAAGCAGATAGAATCAGGGGTCCCAGAGAAAGCGTATCAAAATGGTGCTTTCAGCACTAATTGGGTCCTGAGAATGTACCCAGGCGACGCTTCTACCAACCAACCAACCAGACTCCCGCTCCTACACCGTAATCCATCTTGGATCCGTCCCTTCTGATGGGAATAACACTTGCATGTTACAGCTGAAGTCGAAGTTGCCTACCATATAGTCTGTCGTCCTACTTAATGGCATTTGATTTATGATCAACTCATATCCGAAGTATCAAATCCCCCAAAGGCCTGACTCTCTGAGTCTGACCGCCGATTTCATAGCCCCTTTTTCCAGGTGGAGATCAGTAGGGATTAAATTAAGGATATCATTCAGCGCTTCTTCCGGGCAGGATCTTAGTGCACCTGTTACGCTACCTGTGCTTGCTGCCCTTTGTATGCTTCTTAGTTTGCTGGAAGCTCGGCCAAACACGTAGAAAATGTTTAAGCGCCAAACATTAATTTATTTAAATCAAATATGATACATATGCTGTTCATCCCCAAATAACCTATGTGGGAGATAATTTTAAAACTATTTAGAAACTAGAAAAATCCTTGAAAACTTCGAAAAACTCAAAACTTTTTTATATGAAATGAAAAAAAACCGGATTTCGATATTCGAAAAATGAAGATTTCAAAAAACCGCCTATAAATATACAAAAAATCGGTGGAACCCTAATGTCTATGTCTTTTATCCTGAGTTGGAATAATTCCGCCCAGACATTGTTCCGCCCTGATATTGTTGAAGTATTATTAGAAGATTGAAAGGAAATGTCCATTAACTTAGGCTTTTAGGCATTTGAGAGGCCATAGCCGTGCGTGAATTTAATGGGGAGAATGTGTGGCTTAACTAATTGTTGCGCTCGCACCACCCTGCCTACCATCATCTACTCTGAGCGAGACTAAACAGAATTAACCAAGTACACTTAAATGTTGGCTGGCGACCAACTTTGTTGAAAGCGATTATGTAGTTGAAAGGCCGTTCAACCAAAAGTTGGATGCAAATTTTAACAATGCAAACGCCTTTTTATGGCGAATATTTTTATATTTTTTTTTATATTTTGATCTTTAGCCATTCAACTTTTTTTTCGTGTAACCCTGCGCTGAGTTGAACGCAAATGTTGAACAATGCAAACACTGCTTAATCAGTGCAAGCACACTTACTTGTATATACCTAGCTGCAACATGTATTCATTGTACTCGTCGCTCAAATGGAATGGTAATTTCGCTTGATTCAAATTATACGGTCGTCCGCATGGTGCAAATAGTGCTGGCGTTCTATGCATTTTCTTATCATGCTGCTCGGTGTTCCTCTTCTCCCTGCCGAGCTTGTGATACTTTGCTATATCCGTGCGTGTCTCGGGACAATGCTCACTTTTAGCATCCCAGAACATCTTGATGCGACTATCTTCATCATCGACTTCCGCCATTTCAGCTTCCAGTTCTGTCTTTTTATGTGCCACTCGCAGCTTTTGCTCATCTCGCTCAATGAAATAGTTTGCTTGTTTTTGTACAATAACAGCACGATGGCTACTCAATGTCTTTTGCGCCTGTAACTTTTGTGACATTTTGATTTCTTCACAATCCAGGCTATTCAGCTGTGGCAGCGTACCCGTTACATAATCTCTGTAGTGCGGGTAATCACAGCAGGGATTTCCAATGAGTATTAATTCGCGTAGATTATAATTTCCTTTCAAGCATTCGATGGAAGTTAATTCGCCAATGAAATTTAAAGTTAAGTCTAATTTGGTTAGCGACTCGAGCTGCTCCAGATTTTCCACACGCTCGATATTATTAATGGCCAAGTTCAAATATTCCAATTTTTTCAATTTGTGCAAATTCTCTATTTTGGAAATGAGATTTGATTGTAGCAACAAAATTTTCAAATCCCGACACCAGTTTTGCAGATGTTCGATTCGTTCAATGTCCTCTTGATGCAAGGAGAGTTCTTCCAATGTACTGATGAGACACTCATTATGCTCGGATTTCTTGCGCACCAATGCCTCAGTAACTGTTCATTTTAAAACGCATAAAGTGTTTAGTGCGATTGAATAGGGTATTTTTTTTACACTTACTCTTTACCATGGCTTGAAGATCTTCATGAATTGCGATGTATATTTATGAAAAATATTTATTGTTTAATAAAAGATGCACTTCAAAGAAAAAACTTCAAAGAAACGTACATATGTATGTGTTTCCGTGGCAACCAAACAAATTATTTATTCATTTTGTTGAGTCTCCAAAAAGGGGATGTTCACACGGAATGAAAATTACAGCGGTAAGTTGAACCACCCAAATAAGAAATATACATATGCAATTTGTTAGTGTATGCAGTTACTAAAACATCCCTCGAAGAAATCAAATACAAGCTAATTAGATACCTGGTAACATTATATAAGTACATACATATTACTTCGCAACTCGAGTCTTTCCTCTCAGCTCTCAGAGAGATGTGCATTACAGCCAAGATTCCTTTAGAATTCGCTAGCCCGTAAACACAACTGTTTTGTCGAAGAATGCTGCCCAAAGAGCCGCGCCACGATCATGAACAACAAAAGCTGACAGAGCCTTCTTAGAATGAGATAAAGATGCAAAGCGCGTGTGCCTCGTAGTTAACGGGGCATGTCGAAGTATCAGTGCATCAGACATTGGCAAAGGGTGCTGTTTTTGTGACTTTAAGCCTACTCACGTTAAAAACGGAGGATGAACGAACACCACCGCAAAGCGTGCTGTCTTGCAAATACAGCCACCACAAGTGAACGATGCTTATAACAGCTCATACTCATGAACGAAAGACACAAGATCACGCCTTAAGGAAAGAAAGAAAAAAGTTATTTTCTAGCTGTTGAAATCTCGACGCCATCTTTGTTGTAAGAAGTAAACAACGAAGAGAACAAAAAAACGCGTAATTGTTGAACGCATGAATAATCATTTTTATTATGCAAATTCTCCTATAAATCATGTCGTTGTGTTAAATTATTCTTTACCTTATGTGTGCACACGTTGTCACAAGCGAAAATTAAGAAAATTGCAGTAAAAAGCCACCACCAAATTGTAAACAACGAACAAATGTAAACAAACGGCGTATGTCAAAATCGCCCTACTTTTTTCATAAGTGCGATTATAACGGGCCACTCTTCTGCTGTCGTGATCTTGTCTTTTTGGTTCATGGCTCATACTGATATTGACTTCGGCAAATCTGTACTCCGAATGATCGTGCACGAAACCAGCAACCGCCGTATTTGATCGACAGCCATAAGCACGATACTGCATTTGGACGGTTGCCGAAAGCATGACAGCTTATGTGAAAGACTGGCGAAGGCAAGATGCCGCAGTTAGCTAACTTGATTTGTTGCAGAAGTCAAACCGCCGCCTTTGGTTTGTTGCTGAAGGCGCGTTTGACGTGTTGCCGAAGTGATGATACTGTAGTTCAAAAACATTCAAAGCCACTTGCATGTTTGAAATGAAGCATTGATATGTACATACATACATACTTACGTACGTATGCATATTCACAACTAGCCTACATACATGTATGCACACGTATGCACATTCCTCACAACTAGCCAGCAGTGAGCAATGCAATTGAATGGTAGACGCGCTATAAATACATACATACATGCATACGAGACGATAAATTACCCTTTACCACATTCGTCGTCATTTCAGCAACAAGTCAGATGATTTTCAGCAACAAGTCAGATGATTTTCAGCAACAAGTCAGATGATTTTCAGCAACAAGTCAAACGACTTCTGCAACAAATGATGACTCTCATGTTTTCGGAGCCGTTCAACTGCCACGTTTGCTGGTTTCGTGCACGATCATTCAGAGTACAGATTTGCCGAAGTCAATAGGTTTGTTCGTCGAAAATCCAGCAAGAATTATCCAACACTCAAAATATCAGAGAGTAAGAAAAAATTCTCTCAAATTCTCTCTCATGTTGAGAAACTTGCAAATTTCTGCACGAACGCAAATTTGCAGGAATTTGCAAGTTTCGCTGCCAGCTGGCGTCCACGGTTGCATTTCAAACATAAAAAATTTTTATAGAATTTTTAAAATTCTTTCGGATGGCCAAAAACAGGATATACATGTATATTTCTTGTTGTTCTGACTTTCTTTAACATTCATTTCAATTTCTTCATCGTACTAGCTGTCGGGTTTCTTAAATCGACTCTGGTTGCAATTGCATTCCGATTGCGAATACCATTTTTTTCAGCCGAATTAAGTTCAAATCATTGGAATTAACTAAATTAATTATATCAACAATTATTTACTTCCTTTTTTCATAAAAAAATCGCTCGTGTTTATAAATTTTTAAATTTAACGAACTAATTTATTCAAATTATTGTAGACAAAAATGCAACCATGCGCCACAACCACATGTTTTCCGTGTTTGCAAATTCTTGCTGGCAAAATTTTTTCCAGCAAGAATTTGCAACTTCTCTCCAAGAGAACTGTCACTTTGCTCTCACAATTTTTGAGTGTTGGATAATTTTTTGGTCTGCACGAACGCGATTTGGGCAAAAATCGTGATAATTCGTACAAATTCGTACAAATTTTTTGCTCGACGAACAAACCTTATATCAGTATGAGCAGTTATAAGCATCGTTCACTTGTGGTGGCTGTATTTGCAAGACAGCACGCAATGCGCTCGTGTTCAGTCATCCTCTAATTTCGTTTCGGTATCGATACTACTAAGCCAACGCCGCTGCTCAGTCATACAAAGCAGCGGTATTGAATGAGTATGAACAGTTGACGATCAACCAATGCCATTCCCTGCAGTGCATGTGCACCTAGGCATCTAATTCAATGCTGGCAGTTATAACTTTGAAAGGGTGGAGGAGTTCGTCACATACAACCGGCATTAGGTTAGAGTAAGCTTCACCACGCATAGCACGGAGGTATGCGTAGGCTGGAAAAGCGGAAAAGCCCGTTGGGATCCCACTGAACGAAGCCAATCGTTTCCGTCTCTCAATAAATAAACCCACTGGTGCGTTTTATATAAAAAAAAGAAAATTTTAGAGTATTTTCTGAGCTCAGGGTCGGCTAAGCAATCTAAAAAGTACTTGTTGAAGAATTGTTAGCGCATATTGGCTAGGTTAGGATAGTGGCAGAGATAGTGTTCGATGCTCTCGTTTCTGCAGCTGCGACAAAAATCGTTGGTTCAATATCCTAAATGTCTTTCCATTTGTGGTCATCCGGGAGAGTCCGGTGATTACTAACCTAAGAGAAGAGCATTCAAACCGAGTGAGAGCTATGGATAGCTTTACATCAAGTATTAGGCAAATTTGTCTGATAGTATGGCAGGTGGTTTTCAAGGAGTTGTCAGGAATGTATCTGTGCCCAGATAGGTTGAGAGTCCTTCTGCATTCTACTGATACTTTGGACTTTGCTACGTTAGATGTTAGAGATTGAATGGCAGCTTGGCTGTCCGATTATATAGTGAGAGGCCGTTCAGAAGGGATCTGGGTTTAGATCTATGACACCTTCTCATTCGTTCCTCTTTGTTATCTAAAGAGTTGCAATAACCTTTACGTGTTCGTATCTGTTGTCTCTCCTGGCAGCACTACAGCCGGCCAGAAATTTGCCGTGGAAGATTTAACATTAATTCCAGAGATTAAGTGGGTGTAGTGTATAGTGCTGACGTGACAAACATGGCAGCCGTTCTCTATACCCACACTTGGACAAAGTCTTGCACCATAGCGTGTTTTGGATGATTTTTCAGCAGAAAGTCTCATATTTTCGACTACATCTCACAAATTTTGTTGAAATATGAACAGGTTCCTTACGCATAATGCATTCTAACGGACCAGCACAATTTTTGAAATACAACTCCAAACTATTATTGACCGACCACTGTGATTCACAGTTTGCCTTGCATGATGCGCTTGGGCTTAATTTGGGTCTTTGATCCAATACCAATGCCGGGTCATCTGATTGAAAGCGATTAATTAAGTCTTGTCAGACCAAATAACCTTCAATTGTATCTTAAAAATGTGTTTTTTATTGCATATCTCTTTAGGCAACGGTTCGGGTTTCGTGCGATACAGCAAAATGCTGCCACACTCGCACATGTATTTTGATCAAATTTGCTTTTTTCTTCTTTTATGATGCCTTTGCGCTCAATCTGGCAATTCTTCGCCTCGCTGTCTACTGATTTGCATTAAAGTTTAATACCTTAATCGCTTCTGTAATAGTGGCTGCATCGCTACTTGCTACTAAGTTCACAACATATCGGACCGTAATATTTTTTGACGGACTTCCTTTGTCCTTGGGGACACTTTAGGTTTTTTTTT